AAGTTTGCTTTACACCACTTCACTTTTATGAAAGACCTATGTTATACCTATTTTCGCTGAGTGAAATCTTGAGGATTTTTGCTTTTACGAAAAAAGGCGAAAAGGGAAAATAGTGTTCAGCATTTGTTTTGCAGTGAGCCATTACAGAGGCTAAGCAGTCAAACATACTGTCATGTTTCAAACCTTCCACATCAACCACAACAGACGATGAACCTCCATCTTCAACATCGAGGCAGGCAGACAGAAGAAAGTGTAGACTTTCTCTGCTCACCCTGATGGAGTCAGGCAATGAGGAGATGTTAACAGATGACCCTCTTCCTCTCTCGCCTACACCTGTCTCCTGTACCTCCCATCACCCCAACCTCTGAGGCCTCAGCTTAACACACCATCATCACCACCACCACCTCTCAGCCTTCCAGGTTGCTTGCTGCCTTCCTGATTCTGGTGAGTGAAACTACACTGCACATAGACTGTTTCTACTTTATATAGACTGTGTATTTATATCATTCCTGCTTTTACTATATGTTAGTGTTATTTTAGGTTTTATGTGTTATTTGGTATGATTTGGTAGGTTATTTTTTGGGTCTGGAAATGCTCAAAAATTTTTCCCATATAAATGAATGGTAATTGCTTTTTCCCCTTATGCTATTTCGGCTTACAAAATGTTTCGTAGGAATGCTCTACTTTTGGATAGTGAGGGAAACCTGTATGTATATATTAGGAAAGGATTTGTAAGGACATAGATTAAACTCATAACAGATTAACTTAGTGATAGGCATGTGACATTGAGAGAAGGGTAAATCTTGACTTTTTCTTTTATATAACCGTGTACTGTATTGTTGGAGGGTTAAAAATTTTCTAAATGAGGAAAATTCAAAATAGCTGTGTTTTAGAATGTATCTTATTGGAGAAAGGTTTTAAAAGGTGGTTCACAAGATGGTTGGAGAATAAACTGGCTGGATCCTGACCACTCAGCAACTAGTGGAGGAATCAGAGAGGACTGAGGATACAAAGGCTGTAGCAGCTTAGAAGAAATGACTCTTGAGTAGTACTGTCATTCTGTTACTCTCACTGGACCTGCTGTTTATCCCCACTATACATTTAGTCACTCAACTCGCTTCTGCATTTTCACTTGCATGCAAAAACTGTTAATCCACTGAGTTTCATATCCTCTGGACATAACACTTTCTGCCTCTTCTAGTTGCTCTCCTTACAAACTTTTGGCTTCACTCCTGTCCAAACCAGCTAAATAGTTACAAATCTTTTTGTTTCATGGAATTCTATCACTTCAATCTAGTATTGATGGTAGCCACCTCATACTTATGATCAGATTAATTCTTCAATTAATTAAACATGGAAAATAATGATATTCTCTAATACAATACATTTTTCTTAGTAGACAAATATCTTTCCAACTGCAAGTGTAAGAGGACAAAAACAATAGGAGGGGTAAAAATAATGTAGATTACTAAGTAATATGCACCCAAGCCCCATGAAGTCAGGTTTTTTTAAAGTCTTGTGACAGGATGGCTCAAGTGATCAAGTTCACACTATCATTATAAATTACCGACCCCGAGAGTTTTAATGTGAAAATGGTGGACTCTCCTTCCTAGAAGCTACAATGCCCCCAGACATCTCCCTGGAATTCTTTGGCTTCCTCTCCTTCTGAGAAAGAAACTGGAGGTGGTGGTTGGCAGAAGCACTGGCCTGGCCTTTGCAGAAACAGATAGACTACTAGCTCCTGAAAGGTTCTGGCAATCTCTGCAAGGAAAAATCCTTTTTTATTTTTAATTTTTAAATGCCATCAAATGAAGAGCAGTTAAATAATTTGCTATTACAAGCCTTTGTAGGGAGGAATTAGGGTGGTGGTTTCTAATCTGTTAGGGAACAAGATGGGAAGAGAGTTGGGGAAGGGTACCATCCAAACCAGGCTACCTCCCACATGCACTGAGGCAACTACTGCAGCATCTTATAATTGGCAGACCCCAAAGTGTGACCACTTCAAGGCTCACTTTTTTAAAAAGCTAGCCAGAAAATAGTTCATCCTGTGGATAGAACACAGATGCTGCATTGCACCTGTTAGAGGATACCTTCCTATCCACCCCTAAGCCTGCAAAGAGCAGCAAATCACTTTTGAAAATATTTTCTGAAATGACATATCCCCTACAAATGAGAGCTCCACGCAGGTTACCCAAGGCAATGAAGAGAAAATGTGAAACAAAGTTCTGGCAATTGTCCAAAGCATCAGAACATCTAAAATAACTCATTTTGCTCTGTAAGTTATGAAAATTGGGGAGGTGGGACCAAAAGATGCAAGAGCTCTTTGAATCCAAGGAGAAAACACCTACGAACAGACAGTAGCTCTCTTAGCCCCATTTTCTGGCATTCAGGGGAGCTGCAGGCAGAAAAATTCAGTGGGTCTCACTCAAAACTATTTCCTGGGTTTTAAGCTGAAATTGATGCCTTTAATCTCCACTTTTTGATGGCAATTGGCCTGGTGCATGGCCCCCAGGGTCTGAAGAAGGCTTATAAGAGATACTCTTTAAGAGATTTCTGGCTATCAATGAACTCTTAAAAAAAACATGTTGATGGGTTGATTGTAAGCAAGTGAGAAACAGGATTCAGATTTTCTTTCAAACACCAGCTTAAGGATGAATGGGGAAAACATCTAGTTGTCAAAGTAGGCTTGAGGTTTTGCTGAACCCAGAAATTCTGGAGAAGATTGTGAGATATTTTTGCCAAACCCTACATACTGCAGGGTTAAGCCTTCCCTCTAACCAATTAGATAATTGCCATTTCATTCTGTGGATTTCTCAATTGTTTCTTCTTGTTTTTTAAAGCAAACTAAGTAATTAGCCTTGTGTCAGGGTCATTTTACTAGTATTTCCATAATTAAATAATTACTTTAACCCTGAATTAAAAACTGTCGTGCTGTCTCTGGGTACAGTAGGCTGCCAGCTGTTTTAAATAACCCTTGAGAGTGGTCAGGTTAAGGACTCAATTTATGACCTTATAAATTAGCACAAAGAAACCTACTCCATAATGCAACAGACAATTCTATTTATAATGCTTAATTAATCCTCTCCAGTCACTAACAAAACCCACTTGTGACCTTTCATTTCAACCTCGACCAAATGCAAGTCTCCTGAGATGAGACGTGTTAATATGTGAATGCTGATAGAATTTGCTGGCATTATGGTCAAGCATTAAATAGCTGACAGTCTGGATAAATTAGCTCCTGGTAGCTCAGTAATCAAATGTAAGAAGAAAATGTCAAGTTGGGCAGCATTGATGTAACCCTTCATTAAAACCCTGAGCTGGAGAGAGGCAGAAAGAAAGGAAAATGCCCATGTCTGACATTGCCTGCACACGCTTGCTCTGAATTTCAGGATGTCTTGGCAGATGAAACAACCAAGAGAAAGTATCAGAATTGTATCAAAGGATGGCTGTGGGCCGCCTTTCTATGTGGCTTCATTTATCCGCTGTTGGTAATATCCTAAGGCTGCCTTTTCTTAGACCGGTACAGAACACCCAAAGCGATAACCAATTCAAAGCTGTCTTACCTAAGGTGTTACAAACAGAGTGGAATTATCTGGAAAGTTCCAAGCTACAGGGTGTGGGCAGAGTAATGTTTGCAGACATGGGAAGTTCTCCTGGGATAGGTCCTGGGAAGGAGAAGGGAAGCACACATGCTACTTGGACATTTTTTGTGGCCCAAGGGAGCAGTAGTGACCTGAACACAGAAATTCTGCCTTGTGACCTGGTATCTTGGAATCTGCATGGAGAACTTTACCAGGTTTTAGGACTGTTCAGTGTATTTCCATATGTCCTCCTGAATCAGGAAAATAGATTTTTTTTCTTTTTTTGTCCAACATATTCGAGAGTCAACATAAGTGATACTTCTGGATCTGCTGTGAGCCTCTAGGCAAGTTCCTTAGCCTCACTGCCTCAGTTTTCTCATCTGCAAAGTGGGAATCATAATGGAACGTACCTCATAGGGTTGTTGTGAAGATTAAACAGAGTTAATACATATAAAGGCTTAAACAGTGCCTGGCATGTAGTAGGCACTACATAAACTTTGGCTGTTATCATCATAATATCTTTGTAATATCTTTCTTCTCCAGGCTCTCTCTCTCCTTTCCCAGTGCTGCTATGGCAGCCAGGTCAGGTTGTCACGATCTCTCTCCTGAATGGCTTCCTAAGTCATTTCCTTATTCTAAATCTATATCTCTTCCAATACATCATACACAGTATTGCCAATTAATCTTTCAAAAGTCTCTCTCTGATCTTGTCCCTGTCATATTCAGTGGTCTGCAAAGTTCATCAAAGAAAGTCTAAACTCCTTAACCTTGATTTTAAGCCTATTCTACCCCTACCTCCTGACCCTAGTTTCACTCTCTAATCTTACATTTCACTGAACCTTCTCATGAACCCTTTCCTCTCGGGGAGCCACGTTCTTTTTTATTCCTTCTACATGTTCCCTTGTTCTCCTTACTTGTCCCAGCATGTCCTTGCTTTTACACCTGTGCTCATGGTTCTGCCCACGTGGAGCTTACTCCCCACCGCCCCCAGCCCAGTTCAAATCCTAGCCATTGCTGAAAGTTAGGCTCAAATCCCACCTCCACCCTGGAACCTTTCTGATCCTATCATTTCACCATTCCTCTTTCTTTTCAAGGCTAATCTTTGTGTGTTTTACTCAGTCCTGTCCCCAATCCTATGATATGCATGAGCAGACCCTCTGCAAACAGGAATGGAATATTAATATTAATTGAGAGGCTTGGAATGACAGCCTGGTCTTGAGGTTCATCCTTTCTAGACTTATTCTGTCACCTTATTGCTCACTACATGAATGCCTATGGAAATATTTCAACTCCAAAAGTAAATGGGATGGAAAAAATCCTATCAGCAGGAAAAACAAACATAAAAAATGCATAGTTGATCCCTAGACAATGGCTTGTTTTTTAAGAAGGAGCAATGAAAAAATATCTGGAGTCCAGTACCTTTATATCTGGTTACTACAGCTGCGTTGACACTAAGAGGCTCTTGAAAGCTGACAGTGAGTGATGTGCTGCTGGTTACCATGAGACAGGCATTGGTTGGCACCTCGGGGGCTCCTGGGACAGAAGGAAAAACACAAGGATCTTAACATAGCAAATCCTTTTCAAACAATGTTCCTGCCTCTTCAAAGGATACCCTGAAACACACACTATGGAAACATTTGTTTGTAGAGCCTAATAGCTTTTGCTTTTGAACATTTTCATTAGAAGTCTCAATGGCCTTTATTTGTTGCCATCGTGGTCTTATTTAAGATTAGAACATCTTCCAAGGGGTAAATAATACCAGTTAAACCTTCCTGAAGTATTCTGGAAACACAATAGGAGATTGGGCTGGACCAGTGGAGAGGAGGCCAGAAAGCATTAGCAGGAACCAGTGTTGTAGATAGAAACTGTTACATTTCATGAAGTACTTTCATGTAAAACATTTCACTGGAGCCTTTTTGCAACCCTGTTGGGTAGAAAGGGCAAATATAGCATCCTCACTTTTAGGATAAGGAAACTATAGTTCAAAGAGGCCAAATTATTTGTTCAAGGACACGGTGAAGACACATAGCTAGGATGAAAGCCCATGGCTTTACATGCCTGATTCTGGGCTCTTGCCAGTATAGAATGCCAACGCACCTTGCTCTCATTCTGCCTCTTATTACATCAAGTAGTATTTTCTGAGAAAGAATTCATGGGCAAATGTCATGCCCACTAACCTCAGGTTTTAAAGGACTCGTGATGGTTTTAGGTATTCCTTAACACCCAGAAAGAGTTTTGTAATTTTGAAAATTACCAAAAAAAAAAAAAAAAAATGGCATCAAGTCTAAAAATATGACTGCTTCTAGTATTAATCTATCCTAGATGAGGGACAATAGTAAGTGCATTTGTTAAAACAATTGCTGAATGTCTTAAAAAATATATATCAGCATTGCTGAAGAGATTGTTAATATTGAAAGCAACCTTTCATTAATGTTGCCTAAGCTATTTGCTTCAAGGGAAAGGATTAGACCTAGATTTGGTACTTAGCATACGGTACTACTTCAACAAGACTCTCACTGCCTTTGGTCTTTATCTGTATCACAAAGTGGAGGCAGATAATTTCCAAACTAGTGAACTGATCTTTCTCTTATATTTAAATTTTCAAGTCTAATTTTTTGTTGTTGTTTAAATGAGATCTCCCTTTGGAATAAGATTTTAATATTTCACAAGTGTTTGAATTTTATATATTTTTTATATTAGTGGTTGCACTAAGCAGTACCTTCCAGTGCTAATGAGTATTATCCAGAAATAATACTTTGCTTACGGGGGCTGGCCCGGTGGTGCAGCGGTTAAGTTCGCATGTTCCGCTTTGGTGGCCCGGGGTTCGCTGATTGAGATCCTGGGTGGAAACATGGCACCACTTGGCAAGCGATGCTGTGGTAGGCGTCCCACATATAAAGTAGAGGAAGATGGGCACGGATGTTAGCTCAGGGCCAGTCTTCCTCAGCAAAAAAGAGGAGGATTGGTGGCAGATGTTAGCTCAGGGCTAATCTTCCTCAAAGAAAAAAAGACTTTTCTTAAACTAACAAAAAAATTGGTAAAGAGAATGGAAGTGTAGACAAAAGCATAATTCTGGGGTTGACTGACTGTCCTTCTCTGTTGCCTTTATTAACTGAAAGTCAGTTTATTTAAGCTCTATATAAAAAATGCAGTAGAAAGTTGAAAACAAGTTAAACTTGGGCTTGAAGCAGAAACTGGACAAATAGGTAAACAAATGTTTTTCCACCTCCACATCCCAAAATATAGCCACTTAGGGCATCAGACCATCCGGGTCATTAGGCATTAGGACGTAGCGGGTGGAAAGTGCTAGATGAATGTGACATGGTGGAGGGAGGCCAGCAGCACTGAGGGAGGCTGTGGTCAGAGAAACTATCAAGAGCCAGAAAATCAAGCAAGACAAAAGATCCTTTTACAGCCTCCTGGAGTCCTTGCTCCAAATAGGCTGACAACGTCCATCCATGACCCTGTAGAGTTGCAAAAAATCAATAAAAGAAGGCCTGGCTGTCTCAAACTAACCTCACTCCTAGTTAAATGTACAAGTCCTCTGCTTATACTCACTGGCATGTTCGAAGCCCGTTTTCATGCGTTTGTAGAGTCGATACCTCCACTCCCAAGCTTTCAGCTGTTTCTCTTTCTCTGTGTTGTCCAGACTGAATCCTTCATTCTCCACCTGAGCAGACAGTTCACTCACCCTCTCCTGGGCTTCCTGCACCAGTGTGTTGAGGTGCATCGCTCGGCTTTCTAGGCTGACAACTGAAGGGAAAGAAATGGGGTGACTCCTTTTTCCTTATGGGGTAATGCTGCTTCATTGGCAGGGTATCTAAGAGTCTACTATGGATTTTTTTTAAATGCCTTGGTAAAGTGGGATCTATGTTCCTTATTAACTATCTTGTTATGATAAGGTCTAATTAGTGACATTTATAGCTAGATTAAATGGTAAATCCATCAATTTAAGATACTCCCTTTGCCCTCTGGCCCTCTTGTCATGTGCACCTGAAATGGCTACGTAGCACAGTTAATTAGAATTCCACTATCATGTACCCTTGAGGACCACTTCTAATCCAGATTGCACACATTTGTTTCCATGGTCTTTAGAAGGACTAAAACTTAGAGTCAAAAGCTCTGTAGGGCTAGAAAGGCCCTAGGAAAAGACATCCATGAAGCAGGTTGCATTCTGCCAAATTTGTCTGGACATTTTCTCTCTTTTTTTGGTAGAACCTGATTCAGATTTTCTGCTCTTATCACATTTTGCCCAGCTCATAGACATTTTTGTATGTGTGTCTTAGTGGCATAAATCTGTTATTATTAATCAGTTTATTTATTGCTAACAAAGTGTTCCACTACTGCTGCCATAGTGGAGTAATACGTTCTGATGGCCAGATGACTTCTCTGTGATCAGACATTGATCTTTGGTCACTTTGCTCTTTGATTGTGGTCTGATTGTAGAAATGATCTCCAGGGATGCCCAGGCCCCAGAGAGCAAGTTCTCCTAACTCCTCTTGCTGAGAGAGGTGATACAGCCTGATATTTCCGTTTTACTCAGTGCATGATAGTCTTTATTTGATTCACATCATGTTGTTTACCCAACCTCCCCTTGTGTGAGTGAACATAGGTGTCAATGATAGAAAGTTTCACATTCTTGTGTCGGGTTGGGAGGCTACTACTTGGGTTTACTCGTGGCTCTTACGCATGTAAAGCCCTGCCTAGGAGGTCACTTAGTCCCTTTGGAGGAGCCCTTCCTGGTTAGTGATAAAGAGGAGAAGACAGCCTTTGCAGATCTGTCGCCAACATGTGTTTGACACTCTTTGTGACCAAAACAATATTTCCCCCTGGTGGGTGGGAAAGAAACCCAACCATTTCATTCTTCTAATTAAGGGGGAAAATATTGTGAAGATAATTCAAGTGAAAGGTTGTTATGTGTATTTTGAAATGGAAATTAGGTGGTTATAGATTCATATTCTCTGTGTTCATAAGCATGTTTGCATTAATTACAGGAAATGAATACTAATTTATTATTGCCCCTGCTCACCATCAGTCTAAATTTATTTACAGATGAAGTCAATGAAAAATTAGTTGAGTCTTTTTTCTTTTTCTTTCTTTCTTTCTTCTTTCTTTTTAAAGTTGCTGTTTAGAACACTCAGGACTGTGTTTTGCTGCAGATTTGTCATGGTTAATGAATGTTGCTGTAGCAGTCAATCATGTACTCTAAATACTGTCACACTTTTTTTTAAAGCCTCAGTCATGAGCCATGACAGAAAAATAAACAAATAAATATAAAGCTAAAAAACTCTTTCACTGAGCAGCTACACTATGCAGAATCCCCCGGGAAGGCTAAAGGAGGCCAGAATAAATGATAATATAAGTGCTGTGGACGTAGGGAAGCAATGATGGTGTATGAACACAGAGGTTCTGGAGAAAAAAAATACACATACACACATGCAGGCGCATACTCCAGTGGAAAAATTGGCAATATTAGTAGCCTCAAGGTGCAATTTCCTGGAGCAGTGAGATTGACAAGTCAGTACTAAATGCTGTTAATTTAACTAACTTCAGATTAATGGTAGAGTCTGCCATGACTGAAGCCCTCAAACACAGTCTCATTATAGCCTTGCTGGGAAGGTCCTAAATATAGGCATTGACAGTTTAAAACAAATTCGTATACATTTGTGTATTTTTAGACATAGGTTAGGCGTCAGAGTTTGTGTCACAGTTTTCAGGTTGATTAATTGACCCAGTAACTGCACCCTCTACCCACTGCCCCCCTCCTTCTTCCACTCCAAATTATAGAGAAAATGGAGGAATTGTCCTTGCTAAGTCATTCAGTGAGCTTTTTATTGTAAACCTGATGTTTGAATTGCATGCATGCATCAACACTTGGGTGATAGACACATGATTTATAAAAATAAATTTTTCTAATACTATGAAATCCTCCCTATTAATTTTTATATCCACAATAGTTATTACTGGTGTGAATTCCAGGTGGCATTTCAGATGGACAGCTTCTCTTGAGCTATGTTTGGCTCTCCCTGAAATTTCTCCTGCTTTCGCTAGCACAACACACGTTGTTTCTAGACTTGCCCTTTCCTCCTAGGCTGTAGACTTGATGCATTTTGAGTTGTAGTGGTAAAGGGATTCTGTATCTTCAAGATAAAGCATTTTGCCTCTTTATAGACTAACAAGGAAGATCCATAAAATTTTATAGCCAAGTGAATTTTCCAGGATCATCTAGATCCCTGTGCTTCTCAAACTGGGATACCTAAACTCCAACATAATATGCTGATGGTGGTGGGGGGGTGCGGTGCAGTGGGGGTCTCTGAAGGCACAGAATGAATATGCCCGTCTTCCTGGAGCATCAAATTTTCCATGCAGATTGTGCTAAAAGCACACCACTTAGAAATTAAAATGAACACTTCTATTGTGGAGGAGAATGGAAAACTTTCCCGCAAAATGAAGATTTTAAAAAAAGAAACTGTATAGAAATCTCTCCTTTTTTTTTCCCCTCCCCCAGGCTAAGACCCCAGCTGCCCGTGGGAATATACTCACTTACCTCTGTTGTTAGAGGTAATTCCATGCACAAGGTGGAGGGGCACTGACTGAGCCAGTGGTTTCCGACCATTTCACCAAGCAAACCTTTTATTGTTTTTCTCTATGGATTTTTTTAATGGCTTAATGAAACACTCTCTTTTGAAAGATTTTCTTTATTGACTACCAAATCAGCTGACCTATAAAGTAATCATTTTTCTCCCTATTATTAATGACATATGTAACTGCCAATAGAAGCATCCATTCAGTATGAGATAATCAACGTAACAAACTGGGTTAATTCATTTTAAGCACAAGCAAGTAAATATGATAAATTGTTAGATTATATAGTTTTATCTTGAATAATGATGTGATAGGTTGGGGTTTTTGACACCTCGGAAATTGTTCTGGGACCCCTGTTCCTATTTTTGCCACCCCAGGATGAGAACTTTTTCAACTCCTTATTGTAAAGATAAAGAAACTGAGACCCAGGGAGGTGGGATGATTATTCAGGATTTTCGTAAAAACCTTAAAAAACTCAGTGAACTTCCTCTAAACCAAATGGAATGCAAATTAACCAATTATTTATGTATTGTAGTTTTCTAATTGCTATCTATTAGGCATGAGATTGGCAAACTCATTTTGGTTGGTTGGTTGGTTGGACCTAGAAACTAGAAAGGCTATGTCTATTTTATGATTGATTTTCCTGCCCATCCATTTCTCTTATTCTTGGATCCGTTCCCCTTTCACTTCTACCCCCTGGTTACTTGTCCCTTGAGTCCAGAACTCCTGGATCTGTTTGCAAGGTTTGGTCTTTTCTCTCTTAACACAGTTGATCCCTTCCACAGCCAAGCAACTATCCCTCTGCGCAGCCACAGCCAACACAATAGAGGGTCTGTGAGTGTGTGGTGAGCAGTCCGGCTGGGGCAAGACCACTCAGCGCCTCCTAAAATAGGCTCCGTGCTATTGTGGTGTTTAATTATCAACAGCATTTCTACCACCCAGTGTTTCTAAGTGGGTATTTGTTATAAGACCTGCCCAGCTAATTAACTACAGGGTGGGAGCAGGGGGAGGAGCGGGAACTTGGTGTTCAAAGAATACAATTACAGTTACTGTTTAAATCCTGAGATAAATAATGATCAGACTGGGTGGATTTTCTTCACCATCAGAATCTAACCTATGAATCGCCAACTACTTCCTTGCCTTACTGTTTCTTAATTTTGCCCTTGCCCTACAATTGGTGAATTTGGGCCTGGTGGTTAATTGCTTAAAGCTTGAAAATATAATGAGGGTAAAATGAAACTAATTTAAATTTTTAACTGAGGCTTTTAGGGAACAATTCTTTGGCTTGCTGGAAAAAAATGAATACATTTGCCCCTTACTAATGATATGCCATTTTGCAGTTTAGCAACAACTTTTCTATTGTTATCAGCATTTTCCTTGTTTTTATTGATGAGAAAAATGAGGTACTAAAACAGTCATTTAATCTCAGTGTTAGAAGGATCCTTACAACCAGCCTTCGGTGCCTCTTCTTACGGTACCCTGGCCCTGTAATGATTTCCTCCATGAGGGGAACTCACTATTCACGGAGGCGGCCTAGTCCATTTTCGCTTTTAATTTTAATTTAAAATAGTCTAATTTAATTTTAAAAAGTTTCCTTATCCTGAGCTGAAATTTGCTTTCCTGTTGTTTCCGAAGTGGAGGCAAAGTGGTAAAAGGGCTTTGGGGTCCTGTAGATCAAACACTGCCCCTTAGGAATGTGTGACCCTAAGCAGTTTTGCTTCCATCTCGAGCCCAAATGTCTTATCTATAAAAGTGGCATAATAATGGCACCCATCTCATAAGTTCTGATAAGTTAGTGATAATCTTTACATAGAAGGGTCTCAATTAGTGGTGGTTTGTATTATTATTTTTACACCCATTGGTCTCTGTTATATTTTTTAGAGGCACACAAAAATAAGTCAAATACCTGTTTTTATAAAATAGCTCCAGATAAAAATTTTCAGTTCCAGCTACCATATAGAAATATATACTAAGTGGTGTCAATTTCAACTGTATCTGTCATTTCAAGGGAGAAAACAAAGTCCCTGAGGTAGAAACCTTGCATCAAAAGCCAATATCCTCCGGGCAACCAAGAATAGCGGTTAATAAAATTTATCTTTGCTGATCATAAGTGACAACATTCTAACAACCTCACAGTTAACTTGTTTTCAGGTAGGAACATCAAAAGA